AAGCACGTCTGACGCCCGGTAAAACAAGAGCTTAAGCAAATAAAAGGTTAATCTCGACCGCATTCTCCGGCCTCCTTTTGAAGTCACTGGTTAGTTTGTAAACATTTAGCCTGGAAAGATAGGATGCTGAGAAAAACAATTGTCACGCATCAACTTATGAGCGTTAGTGTAAGAAACCACTGGATATTTCAACTTCTTCCCGAACTTTGTATGGGCGTCAGAAAAGGGGGTTTACCTATCACATGATGCCATCTTACAAAGTTTTTAAATAAAAATTCTAATATTTTTGCCCGCTTGATACTGATATGGCAAAAACAGACAGAATTTATTCTCCATATCTAGAATTCTTAAGAGGCAAAAAGGAACTCCTCTACAAGCCAGACCTACGGGGCAGTTTTAAGGGCGTATCTGCTATTGTCTCTAATAAAGGGTTTGAGCAAGAATCCGAAACGGCAGGCAAATAAAGCTCTCGTCCCAACGATCGTGCTTCCTTCTTCACAGCATATAGTCTAAGACTATTATTTAATTTTTGATTGCGAGGCGAAAACAGATTTCACATTTCACTTTCCAGTAAGACTAATGCCTTTATGGCTTTTGGTTGACGGATTGCCTATCTGATGGAATATGGTCGGAGATTTTTCTACAAGGACTACCCTCTGTGATGAGTTTGTGATTTATACATCAAGTGCTTTGACCGGATTCGGGCCTGATAAAATCTCAGACGATTTTGCCTACAGGTCGGCGAAGAACATGACCAAGCTATTAATGGTGACGTTTAATCAGGACTCATGTGACTACCTTTTTGGTCACTATCATGAGACGCGATCGTAGAAGCGAATTCGGATGACGAAGTTCAAGCGCTATCACTTTTTGGCATCTTGGTTGCGGTTGATTTTTGGACACATGGACCTGGCCTTGCAGACGCATGGAATTAGTGTCTTGATGGAGTCATCCTATATTCTGGTTTTAATTATTTGTCTGAGTTCACGCCGATTCGAGCGATCTTGACAGGACAGAGTAGAAGCACAATGTGCAACCTTGATGCGAGTAAATGATACTGTCACTGAGAAAATCAAGGGAGACATCAGGAAAACAACAGTTTCATCCAACAATTTGACATCAAAAAGTAGGTATCACAGTGATAACCTCATAATCGGTCATTTTTTGAAGGTTTATGACACCAATGCTTTCATTGCTTGGTGAATGTTGTATTTGATGATGATATATATGTCAAAAAGCAATGCAGTTGGCCGATCAGTATGATGGACTCAAACTCCGAGATATTTGTTGTAAATTAGTCCTCATCAGGTCATGTGTTGGCATTCACTTTGAATTTCCTCAGTAGAAGGCAGTTGTTTAACAACCGAGTGGTCTTCCATCTATATAGTAACTGAGAGGGCAGACGCTGTCGTATGGGGGTGTTGGTCACAACGAATATTTGATCAGATGGCAGCAAACTGGTATCCAAAACGCTTACTATGTCTAATCGTAGACAAAGTTTTACTGCCGGACTGGCAATGTGATACAGTCTGCTGACATCCCGATTGGCTAAAGGGTGTTAGAGCTCTGATGCCGTTTCAAATTGAATTTACACCAGGTCGTGCCTTACAGAAGACTGAGTCACATCTTCGATGCCTCTGAAGTTCAGATCGTCCAAAAAAGAGGATCAAGAAGCCAACGGGAGCATGTTATCACGCGTCGTTCAATCCTCGAGTCGATTTAATCTGTGGCTTAGTGATTTGTGTGGTATCCCGTAGCGTCCAAGCGATGAGGGTACTCACAGCGCCACAAGCATTAAGCCAATACTCGATTAGCAGAA